ATGAAAACTCAGTTCAGCTGCGGGGCGGAACTAGCAGTTAGGAAACGAAATTAGAATTTAAAGTATATGGATTTTTTAATTTGCTATTTACCACATACTTTGTTTTAGTTATTCAGTTTGTGCATACCTAATTTCATCATAGGTGTTGAAAATTTATTACTGTATTTTTTTAAGGGAAAAAATAAATCTCTGAACTATCGTAAATGGTATGTAGATATCCTCCGTTTGGAATATTGGTGTCCCTGCCGTCCAAAGACTAGAGCATATATACTCTTCATACTAACCTACATACACGTGTCATAATCTTATCCATCGACCGATATTTATTAAATATTGAATCGACGAATAAGATTGTGTCACATGTCCCTATTTAGTCTTTCGTTAGAGTGAAAGGCATATATGCTCTAGTTTTTGGATGACAGAGGCACCAATGTCTCAAAAATATGACGGAGGATATTTGCATACCATTTACAATAATTCAAAGGTATATTTATCCTTTTTTCCTTTTTTAAATGAAAGACGTTCAACTTACTATATATATCTTCGGTGTATGTGACTCCGTCGATCTGCATTATGTATATATAAAATTAAATATTGTGGTATAATTGACTAAAAATCTGAATAAACAATTAGAATGTGGATGGTTTAGGATGAGACTGAATGATGGACGTACGTGCAGTTTTCATGAATAGTTGGATGTATTTAATGTCTTTGGGATGACTTTGTCACTATTCCTCCGTTTGCTTTTACTTATTTGCTTTTTTAAAAAATAAATTTTATTAATACTTATATTACTTTCAGGGAAAATTATCAAAAATGTCCTTAAACTATGTGAAAGAAATAAAAATGTCATCCGTTTTTAGTTTGGTCCAAAAATGTCCTTCCCATTAATATTTTGGTCCAAAAATACACTGACAGTCAATACTTTGGTCTAAAAATTCCCCTATAATTACTAAATGGGTCAAAAATGCCCTTTTCCGAATAAGTATATTATTTTTTCTTTTTAAACACATTTTCTTCTTCATTAAAATATTATTAAAGAGCCATGTTCTTGTTTTCTTTCTTTTAAAATCACTTTAACAAATAAAAATGCAGGAAGTATTTTTTTCTTCCTAATCTCATCTTATCAATTAAAATAGAATAACTTCATGTACTATTTCAACAGATAATATATTTCATATGTATAAGATCATAGTATATATCTTTAATTTATATTTATATAACGATAAAAAATAATTATAATAAAATAAGAAATATTTTGTTTTTTTTTTCTAAATTGAAGTAAGATAAACATTTGTTTATTTTAAAAATTATTATAAGAAAAAGAATGTGTTAAAAAAGAAAATAAATAATATATTTATTTGAAAAAATGAGCATTTTTTTTTACCTAAAATAACAATAAGGACATTTTTAGACCAAAGTATTGATGGGAAGGACATTTTTGACCAAACTACAAACGGAGGGCATTTTTGTTTCTTTTGCATAGTTTAAGGGCATTTTGACTCTTTTCTTTTACTTTTAACATATTAATTAAATTAATTGATTTTTTCTACCATCAATATTAATTACTTCTTACGTTCACTTTTACTTGTCATATTTTTTTTTTTAAAAAAAAATCATTTTTAGTTATCACTTTTGACATATCAAGAAAATACCATAATTTTTTTTCATGTTTTACCCTTAGCATTAAATATTTATTTTCCAAATTACTTTTCAAGACATTATTTAATAGAGGATAGTTTGGTATAATACATATATCACTAATTATTTTCTTAATAAGTTTGTCAAGTCAAACTGTGACAAGTAAAAGTGAACGGAGGTAGTACTAATTATTCAAGTCATTTTCTATGACTTAAAACTATACATCAATTAATATAAATATTATGATAATATATTCATATTAATTATTACTCACATCATTCCTATTTATATGTCATCATTTTAGATTTTACGTATCATTGTATATTTATTTAGTGTTCTCTTAATGTCGTATTTTAAATCAATAAATACGAATTAATTTAGTTTGATTAATTATTTTGACCAATAAATATGAAGTATTTACTTGATTTTTCTATGTTAATCAAATACGTATTTTCAAACCTAATACTCTAACTCTTCGGGGTAAAATAGAAAAAAATAGTGTCATTTATGCCTTGATAATGTGAAATGAAGTTGAACTTATGTTTTTTAGTTTGTACTTGAACAAACATTTTACTTGAAAAACATAGTCCATATATATTTCTCACAATCAGAGATAGATTTAAACTTTAAAATATGTAAAAATTTCATAATTAAATAAATATTTAAAATTTATGATAAAACAATAAGTTAGACTTTGATCGAACAAAGGGAAAAAAATGTGTGGCATTTAATTCCGGTCATAAATGATATCACTTTGACTGACGTTAGTCTTCAAGAAAAAAAGATTTAAAGTAAAGTAAAATTGGACACGAAACTCAAAGAATAATCACTTCTATTTTCGTCAATTTCACACCTAATAAAATGTCACCACACATATATATACGAGTTAAATTAAATTTTTGCCTATGGGTCTTTTAAGACAATTCTCTATTTTAGGTTACAATCAAAAAACTCTTTTTTAATAGTTAAAGTGAAAAATGTTATATCACGGTATAAAATTTTGTAAGCTATTGTAAATATGTTGTTCAATGTTATCCCGAAAGTAATTTTTCAAAAAACTATATTAAGGATAACAGTAAATGTTAAATTTAAAAAATGGATATATTATATAATTTCTCATACTTTTTCTATTTCATATTAAATGAATTTGAGAAGTAATATACACTTATAAAGAAAAACAATACATTCTAATCTTATTTTAAAATTTGCAATATGGACATTCCCATTTTAACAAGTCATTTTAGTGAACAATTTTATTTTTTTTAAAAAAATTAGTGTGATCCTCACATAGAAAAATACTTATAAAAGTATTAAAATAGGATGATGTCATGATCATGAGATTCTCCATGGAGATAACTCTAAAAAGTGAAGAAGTATTTTTATGTTAAAACTCTTAAAAGTCAAAGAGATTCATTAGGATTTACTCCATTATAATAAATGCAGAAATTCACGGCCTACTTAATAGTACACTTTTGACTGATTAGCTTAACTAAGACCAAATTTCATTTGGGAAATAAATCAATAAATGCAGCAATTTGTACAAAGTAGAAGAAAAAATAAAATGTGAAAAATATGAAAAAAAGGAGAAAAGATTTTAGATGATAAGAAATTAGAAGTTAGGGAGTAGGTGTGAGGTTTTAAAAGACGTAAGATTTGATATAATGTATTTAATGATCGTTAGGTGCAAAATTGAAAAAGAATAGTAAATGTGGCAATTAATTAGTTCAACCAAAGAAGCAATTAAGTCATCAGCTCTCAATGTAGTTGGATACCCCCATTTAATATTTTTTTTGAAGCAGAATGCTTTTATTATCCCACATCAATTGCAACTCCATTTATGTATTCTGACTTTAAGTTTCATCCACTCATAATTATGCTTTAACTTTTTTAACACTTCAACTCTTTTTTCTTTTTCCACAAATATCATACGCACTGAAAGTTTATTTTATATTTTATTTAACCATGTGATATTCAAAATTTAGGATTCAATGTCGTTGTATGTATAGAACCCTTTTTAAAAAGAAAGAAAAAACTTCCTATCAGAAATTTATCCATTTAAATAGCATTGTTTTATTGGCATATTCACTTCTTCTTTTTTCATATTGATTTCAACAATTAAGGAAGACATTTAAGAAAGTTACTACTTCATTCGTTCATGAGAAGCAACTACATTCACAAATAAAGTAATTAATATCGAATTTAATTGAAGGAATAGTAGTTTGGCTCTTTCTAAGAAATTAGGTATTTGTATTTAAAGTATGAAAGGTATATCATTGATAAAATCTCCATCAGCATTTATACTCTCTTTCAATAAACTAAAGTAAAATAGGACTACTTATTTAAGCTAGTAATAAAACTCTTTCAATATTACTCCAATTTAGGCCGTGCTAATTTAGAATTCTATTGTAATAAATTTGTCACCAAATGTCAATAAAAAATCACAAAGTCAAATCTTTTGAACAAGTCACAACTCAAGAAAACAAAAAGCAACTACTCGGTGTGAATAAATATTTACACTTATTGCAAAGATGTGTGATAATAGTTTCATTGTTATTGTAAGAATATGAATTGCATTTCTAAATTTGTCTTCAAATAAAAATTTGACCAATTAAAGCCTAAAGGGCCCATTCTTTGGTTGCATTAATGGTTAGAGTAGTAGATTAATGACAGAAACTTCATCGTTTTTATAACCCACAATTCACATTAATTACCAGCGCACCAATTTGATAAGTCCAACAACAATCGTACACTCAACTGCTTATTACTCCACTCAGGATCAATAAGTTTGGTCCATACCTGGTACTCTAATAGTATAAACTCAAAATTCTAACACATATCAACTATTACTATATGTTTGGGCCATACCTTGTGGTATAGATTCAAAATTTTCTAGTATAAATTGTAAATTCTAACTCCGATCAACTTTTACGATATGTTTGGTCCATACCCGGCCTCTTGTATAGATTCAAAATTCTAACTCAGACCAGACCGACTTTTACAGGAGAATAACAAGAACCCCTTCCCAGGCCGATTTTTTTTTTCTCATGTTATAGCAATAAAACAAGAAAATTTACACTGGAATATTGCCAAGCATATTATTAATCCAGACTTGTTAACAGATATAGGCAAATCAGTTTCTCATAATCGGCAACATTATCAGGAAAAAAAAGGGTATTCAATCAATTCTCCATTCATGACTTGACTGTTATGCCATCAGAAACATTGCCTAAATAACATTGACAATAGCACGCACCATTGCAACGTGAGCTGAGGACACGAATATACATACATATGCATATTGCCAAAAGACTGTACGCATGCATTTATCCTCAAAAAAGAGAGCGGGTAAGGAAGACAAGCCGAAGCTAAGAGGGAATTCATATACTACTACTCTGCCAAAGAAGGAACATACATGTATATACTATTCTATAACTTACAAGATTATATCTTCTCTTCTATCTTTACAAAGAAAAAATAAAATTGATTTCTTGGCTCTTCAATCTTTTCTTATATGGATATGTTGAGATCAATCCGAGGCTTTTTCATTGCTACAGGTAATGGAACGATGGTACGGCAACGAGGGCATTTAGGATCGTTCTTTGAAATTAGCACATAAAGCAGGCAACTAGGACATCCAGCAGCGAAAGAAGAGGATATGTGCTCTTGATTGATCTCTGTATCCTTGACTGAGGATGAGGAATTTGATGACATTGACACGGATATTGAACGCTTCCGGGTTGTTTCCTTCTCTGCCCTTTCCAGAGCAGATTTCACTTTTTCCAGGGTGCATACACTGTGATAACTTGATGATGATGGCGAAGAAGGAAGCAGCAGTTTTAGGTCTAAGTTTGGTTCATCAAAGAGGTTGAGCGGTTGCTTTGATGTAGGAGGGAAATTAAGGTCTTGAAGCTTTCCAACTGTTTGTTGCTTCTGTTCCAAAGTCTTTGATGTAGAATTGCACCTCTGTAAATATACTTTCCCTGACTGTTGTGCAAATGAATGTAAAATCAAATTAATATTAATTGAACAGATATTCAAATCAAATCTCTCAACCAAGCCTAACTCAGTTGTTGAGTCATTTTCACAGCCAACAACATAAAAAAAAAAAGGCTGATTGTTCGTCGCAATTAATACTGCAACCGTGTGATAATCAGGATCAGATAGACACGGTGAGTTATAACAAAGCAACTAATACCATCTGATTTAACGAATCACGGAAATTAAAACAAACAAACAAAAAGGGTTAGGGTTTAATATTAACCTTGAGGTCGAGGCGTTTTTCCCATCCAGAAGGAACCTGCAAATCAAGGTCTAATTCCTTAGAATCAAGTGAGCGGCAACCTCCGAGCAAGTCCATGGTAATTAAATTGGGTGATGAATCATTTAATGAGGCAGCAGTAGCAGCGTTCATAATCCTAACGAGAGAACTAACTTCAGCCGCCATTGATATTGATATTGATATTGATATGATAGAGAGTAAAAGAAAGGCAGAGTTGGAAAAGGGAGTTTTAAACAAACAAGTGAAATTGAGAGTTGGATTGATAAAATCTTTTCAGAAGAGTACTACTCACTCCTATATAAATATAATATAAAAATATAAATAAAATTGTTGATTGGCATTATGTGGATTAGTAATAAATGGGATTTGGAAGGAAGGAAAGGGCCGTCACCGTCAGTAATGGAGGCAATAAATGCAAAAATGGGACTCCGACTTTTCCCACCAGCTCTGCTTTTATTGCAAACATTTTTCTTCCTTAACACCTTTCTCCCTTTCATTAATTACAACCTCTTTTTTATTATTCTCTCCTTTTCTATTTATTTATTTCTCACCATTATACAATAGGAGTAATTATTCTCTTCAACTCTAATTTTTCAACATATTTTGATCAATTAACTACTTAATTTCTTTATATTCATCAAATGCATACTTTCACAATTAATAGCCTATTTGGATTGACTTAAAAAAAAATACTTAGCTTTTAAGTTGAATTTAAATAACTTTTAAGTCAAAAAAAAATACTTAGCTTTTAATTTTTAACTTATTTCAACCTTATCAAACACTTCCTAACTTATTTTAAATTATTTTTATATTTGTCAAACACATCAAAAGTCAAAAATGACTAAAAATATGTTTTACCAACTTTTAAACCAATTCAAATACCCTCTAATAACTTTCAAGGATAAAATAGAAAATATAATTTCATTTATGCATTGATTTTGTTAAATAATAAATACTGTTAAGAAACACATATTTTTAATAAAAACGACACATAAATAGAAACAATAAGAACTTTTTTGGTTTTTCTTCTTTTTACAAGTCCAAAATCTTTAAAATGTACTACTCTAATTTGATTATATCTTTTCATTTACCACCAAACTAATGTGTGTATGAGCTCGATAAAATTTAATACTGAAAATTTTCATTTTTAAGAATACATCATTCCCTAACAAAATAATTTCAAAAACTCAATCAACTAGGCCATTATTGAGACATTATACTGTCAAGAAAACAAAAGGGAAAATGGAATCGAAGAAAAAAGACATTGACATGGAAGCTATTATCCTTTAATATATATATATTGAAAAATCCTTTTTGCAAGAAAATTTGATCAAAATGATATTTTATCTATGTTATTTTACCTTTTTGAACATTTTTACTCTTTTAACTTTAATACCTTTTAACTAAAAAAATGGAAAAAAGATCAGTTTACTTTAAAATAAAAAAGATATTATAGACTTTCTAATTTTCTGGTCATTTAGCATTACCCGTATATATATATATATATATATATATATATATTTAGTTAAAATATATTTAAATTAAAAGGATAAAATATTTAAAAAGTTAAAATAACATAAAAAAACTATCGCCAAATTCTGATCAAATATTTTACCAAAAAGATTTTTCATATATATATATTGTCCGTACACTTTTATCTAGGGAGTTACAAGTAATTTTCGTTGGGATTCAAAAAAATCTTAATAAACGGTACATTAATTACACTACTTCACGTCCATGTATTTTAAAAAGTTGAAAGATGAAGCTCAATTTAAGGCTTTTTTTCATTTTTATAGGTTTAATTTGAACTTTTTGGTTCTTTCAGAAATAATAATTGATATGAGTATTTTATTTAATGTTTAGTATTAGATTTTAAAAAATAAGTTATCAATGATGAGGATAAAAAATAGAGAAGAATAATTATCTTTATATATATATATTTTGAAAATCTAGTTTTAGAATGCCAAAATAAATAAAAATAAATGAAGGAAGAAGAAGTTAATTCACCACATATAAATTATACTCCGTCCAATAATATTTGTCCATTATATTAAAAATAAATGTTCAACGATACTTGTCCACTTTATGAAATACATGAATAATTTTACACTTTGTTCCTAATTTACTCTTGTCATTAATTATAGTCATTTTCCCATTACATTTTTCAAGATATTGTATTTATTATATTCAAAGTGTGATATAGTAAAATTACCCTTCTATTTATAATTTCTTAAGAGGTGTGCCAAGTTAAAAGTGGACAATTATTATTGAATAGAGAGAGTAATCACATCGGTTGTTAATAATCTAGACGTACATCTATGACGATTAAAATGGTTAAGTACGACATTATAAAATTCATACTAAATTAAGAGTACACAGAACTAATGATTCTACATAGGGGTGTGCAAAAATCGATTTAACCAATAAACCGAACCGAAAAAACACTATTGATTTATTGATATTGAGTTATTGGGCTAACGATTTTTAAACGGTTCTGCAAAAAATTTTATTGGGTTATTGGTTTGGTTTCCTGTTTTATGATTTTTGTTAATGGTTAAACCGATAACCCAATAAGACTATACTAAATTTACTAATCTTATTGTTAATGGTTAAACGATTGTTACTTTCACACTTTTTCCTTTGAATGTGTCTAGTGTCTAAACTTGCAATAAAAATGATTGTTACTTTTATGATTATTACTTTCATGCCAAATGCTAGAAAAATCATATGGTTTATTTGAAAATTTTCTTATTGTGTATATAATATATATGAGTATTTTTTTATTGGTTAAATCGAAAATTGAACCGTTAAGTACCATAAACCGATCAGAAATATGTTATTGGTTTGATTATCGGTTTGACGTATTTACAAACTGAAAACCAATAAACCGAACCAATAACACTTAAAACTTAACCGAACCGACCGATGCGCACCCCTAATTCTACATCAACAAGACAACGAAAATTCAATAAAAACAGAATTGCGAGCCCCTACCTCAAGTCTCAAATAAATCGCTAATCTTTTCTATTTTGTGTTAAATAAATAAATTAAGTTGTTAACATGGGCAGCTAATTTTGATCTATTTCAAAACACACGTGTGGATGATCATGGGTTGCATATTGCAAATCGCTTCAACCCTCTTTGACTTGGTTTTGCGTGTGGCTCTCTACTTCTGACTTTTCTTTTTGTCAATTATGTACCCATTGGCCATTACTCATTCTGGGGTTCGGTTCTTCGGTTCAATTTTATCAAATTTTAATTTAATTTTTTATTTTTAGAAAAGTGTGAATCGTATTTCATATCAAATTAATTCAATTTGATTCGATTTAGTTCGGTATTTTTAATCGATTTTTCGGTACAAAAGAAAAATAAATTGAAGACAAAATCAAAGTGTAAGATACTTAAAAATTTAAAACTTTGTTAAGGATTGATGTGTCTCTCCGTGGAACACTTTATGCTAAATAAAAGAGACTATATTTATCTTTGTCAAGAACATTGTTTCTCCAACTACTTCTCGAGAAAAATAAGGACGAAGACGGGTTCCTTTACATAATGTACATTGATAAAAATATGTTTGGGTTCCTCTTGGTGATTAATATTTGAAGTTAACTATTGAATTGTAAATTTGTTGCTATTTTGATTGTTCATGAATGATTTAATTGTTAGTTGACTTTTTATTTTTAGTTAAGAAAATGCCCATATATATATATATATAAAAAAAAAAATTATTATTTTTAAAATTTTGAATTTTTTAAATAAAAGTTTGGCTCTTCAGTGCACCAACATTTTGAGACCCTTACACCAAATACTGAACCGAAGAATCGAACTTTAAAAAAAATAACAGCCACACTGAATCGAAAAATCAAAGAACCAAATTAGTTCGATTCAATTCAATTTTTCGATTTTCCAATATTGATGTCCACCCCTACTTACCAATATCTTGGGTGAATCTGTGTATATATAAATTTTAAATATTTGATGGTAACTTGGTTATTATTAATCCATCATGTTATTAGTATAAGTTTAACATAGTTATACTATATTTAGAAAATATTTTCATCTATAGTAATATATTTTTCTCACTTAACACTTATAATATATTACATAAAATAATTGATAAAACACATATAATACATGTTTAATGATAGATAATAGTACAATTTATCACACATTTCAATACACTTACAAATTACAATACACTATATCAATTTTTTACTAAACAAACATAATATATTTTAAAACACTATTAATATATCTATGTTGCATGCACAATTCACTTTTAATACATAGTGCAAATTTATTATATTATTGCTATAAATGATAATAAATAAATAAATAAAATTTATAAAAATCAATATTTATTTATTAAAAAGTAGTCACCCAAATAATTTTTCAATTTTATATCCTCAATTTACTTTTAACATCTTAAATATCCCAATGTATTCTTTCCCTTGAAATGACTCCCTCAATTATAATGAAAAGAAAAACATGTGACTCTCTTTGTATATGCACGGATGCTGCACCATGGCTACTGTTAGCTTAAGCCCTACTAGAATTGTAGAGTATTTGAATTCCAACTAATATATTTCACACTTGCAATATATTGCCATTTTTATTTATTTATTTTTCCTACAAAATATTTAATTTTGTACTTTTCATTATGTGGACGTTTCAGCTTTCGTTGAGAAAAAATCTACTAAAATTGAAAACAGATTTATAATTATAGGAGAAATTTTTATTGGATCTTTGAGAGTTAGGATTACTGATATTAAGAAGCTTAAAAATGATTACACATAACAAAAGCATGAATAATACTACAAACAGTTAAAACGAGACAAAGTACTAAATGGACTTATTAATTGGTAGAGGTCACCCAATATAATGTTGAAAAAAAGATGACAAATATGTACGATCAGAAAGTTGAACACTTTCAAAAGGATCGTCGGTGTGTCCTTTTTTCACTACCACATTTATCTATCTATAACTATAATATAAAATCCGATAATATCTCGATTAGGCTTTTTTCATTAACCATTAGTCTACATCTTTAAATATGAATATATTTTTTTAACATTAATTAGTACTGCGTAAAATCACTCGTTTTATGTATATATTGAACATCAGTATTTTATTTTGAATGGAGTATTAAATAGAGTTTATTGAAGGTTGAATAGTCATATGGAGAGTTGCATAATGCAGGTTCACCTTCCTTGTGTTGTGTCAATA